ACTAACCATAACCATAAAATAAAATAAAATAAAACATTTAATCATTTAATTTATAATTAATTACAATTAATCAAATACATCATTTAAACGCACAATCTAATTAAACAAATAATACAAATAACACCTAGACAAAATACAAATAACACATAGATAAGTAGCCAATTAATCAAGTAACACTTAATTCAATTAAACACATAAACAATTAGTCAAATAATCAATTAAACTTTTAAAAAAATACAATAAAAATAAATAAATACCGAGACTATCCTTTTAAAATTACTATCCTTTTAAAATTACTATCCTTTTAAAATTAGGGGTATTACAGATGAGCTGAGTAAAGCTCGTAAAGTTCAATTTCCTTATTAAAGGAGTGACGACCTGAGTAAAATTTGTACAATTTATTCCCTTACCAAGGAAAGATTACCCAAGAGTACCAAAACTAGTACCCAGGGGTAGAGTATCCAAGGGTACCAAAAATAGTACTCAGGGGCAGAGTACCCCAGGGGAAGATTACCCAAGGGTACCAAAACTAGTACCCAGGGGTAGAGTATCCAAGGGTACCAAAAATAGTACTCAGGGGCAGAGTACCCCAGGGGAAGATTACCCAAGGGTACCAAAACTAGTACCCAGGGCAGAGTACCCAAGGGTACTAAAAATAGTACCCAGGGGCAGAGCACCCTAGGGGAAGATTACCCAAGGGTACTAAAAATAGTACATAGGGGCAGAGTAGCCAAGGGTACCAAAGCTAATACCCAGGGGCAGAGTACCCAATAGTACTAAAACTAGTACCCAGGGGCAGAATACCCAATAGCAGAATACCTAATAGCAGAATACCCAGTGGTATTAAGAATAGTATTCAGGGCAGAGTATCCAAGGGTACCAAAAATAGAACCCAAGGGAAGCGTACCCAGAAAAAAATAAAAAATAAATAAAATTACTGTTCATATGAACAGTACTCGCGGAAATAGTACCCACGAGTACTATTCCCATGGCAAGAAAAAAAAAAAAAAGTTATTGTTCATATGAACAGTACCCCGCGGGAATAATACCTGCGGGTACTGTTCCCCATGTAAGGAAAATAAAAAAAAATAAAATAAAATAAAAAAAATTTGTTACTGGTCATATGAACAGTACCCGCGGGTATTGTTCCCAGGGCAAGGAAGAAAATAAAAAAATTAAAAAAAATTAAACTGTTCAATGAACAGTACCCGCAGGCATTGTTCCAGAGGGAACAGTGCCGGGGGCAAAAAAAAAAATTTCCCTATTGTTTAATGAACAGTACCCGCAGACACTATTCCCGAGGGAACAGTGCCGGGGGCCCAAAAAAAAAAAATCTTACATTCCCAAAGCTAGATGAGCAAGCTTGGGAATGGGGGGCAACTGAAAAGGAAAAATAAACCTATCTTGACTAACCAATAGAGGCAACCAAGTGTTAACCAGCCGCCAGATCTTTTCGGTGATCAACGATAATATTTTGTTATTAGGGGTAACGATTTCCATGGATAAGAATGATGACAAATCTTATGCAAATAAGATTTCCATGGGGATGATGACAAATTTTATCAAGGATAAGATTTCCATAGGATAAGTTATATGGGATAAGGATGATGAAATTCCCTTATCGAGAAGAAGGGAAGCGACGATAAATAGGACGATGACTCGGGAATAAGGTACGACAAAAAATCCCTGCATTCCTTTTAGACCTCCGGTAACTAACTTGATCGTCGGAGAGCTCTTGGCAGGCACCACACCGGTGCTGTCAAGGTTTATCGATCTTCTCCTCTTTCCCTTGCAGGTAAACGGTGTCGTATCGGACCGTGTGAATTTCACCCTCAACAGTTGGCGCCGTCTGTGGGAACTACGATTCCCTTGAATTAATTAATTACTCAGTTGGGTATATACATTTGCAGTCCAGTATGGTTACCGAAGGAACACCATCGCAGGGATCTAGTCAAAGGGTAGAGTCGGGTGAAAACCTGGACGTCCCAAACGACCAGACATGACTTGCAGCGTTGGAACTGCAGATCCAAACTCTGAGTCAGGGTATGAACTAGTTGATCCAGCAAAATGCAGCGTTCCTGCAACATCTTGTTCTACCGGTTCAACAAAACTTGCCACGACAAGATCTTGGAGGTAATGGGAATCTTGAAGAGCAGGATAATCATCCCCCCCAAAATGAGACTGGAGTGGAACAAATGCCAAGTGGGAACCCGACATAGAGAGGTGGTGCACTCATCTCTCCCACGGAGTTCCCGACCTTTTAAAAGCACAGCCTTCTATCTTAAGGAAAAGACAAAGAAAGTTACCTATCTCGACCTGCAGATCGAGGATCTCAAGGGAAAAATGGAAGATGTAATGCAAGATATAAAAGGGAAAGGTCCTGCCGTCGTAGATGACTTGGTACAAAGAACCAACTTACCGTTCAGCCCCGCCGTTATGAAATGTCCACTACCTAGCAAGTTCAGGATACCCTCGTTCGAAAGCTTCGATGGGACCAAAGATCCCCTCGATCATCTGGAAACTTTTCAAGCTCTTATGCATTTACACGCTGTGCCAAACGAAATCATGTGCTGAGCTTTTCCCACTACACTTAAGGGATCAACAAGAGTTTGGTTCAACAAGCTAAAGCCAGGAACCATCAATACCTTCGAAGAACTGAGTAAGCAGTTTGCGAGCCACTTCATTGCAAGTCAGAGGCATAGGAGGCCGGCTAACTACCTGTTTACCGTGGAGTAACAAAAGGAAGAGTCGATTCGGGAATACATCACCCGATTCAATGCAGAGATGTTGTAGGTAAAAGAGGTAGACGACAAGGTAGCTTTGACCGCTTTCATAAGAGGACTCCAAACCTCCAGATTCTTGTTCTCTTTATCAAAAGAACCTCCCACTAGCATGATAGAGTTGTTGATCAGAGCGCAAAAACACATCAACGCTGAAAACACCATGAGTGCACGGAAGGAAGGAGAGAACAAGAAGAGACCAGCCCCTCTCACTAGGGATGAAAATAATACCAAATATAAGAGATCATTCTTCAGCCAGAGCAATAGCACATATTATGAGAAGGACTCAAGTGAGTATACCGACTAGAAATTGTCTCACTACTGGAATTAGCCTTATTAAGTCATTCACAATAAAGACTGGGGGCATCTTAGTTAATCATTTTAAATCGAGAGTAGCTCCCTCACGTGTTAACTTGTTTTTAATAAGCCTTGAGGCAATGATGGTCTTTAAAAAAATTCTTTTCAGTTGTCTTAACTCTTGGTCAATTATCTTTATACGTGCAGTATCCCCGTACTAGAAAGGATAGTAAATGAGCGTCCTGTATTACAAGGACCCGGGCTAGTGAATTCCGTAATCCGTATCCCTGTACTATAAGGGATAGTAAATGAGTGTTCTGTATTATAAGGACCCGGGCTGAGTGAATCTCGTAATCTGTTTCCCCGTACTATAAGGGATAGTAAATGAGTGTCATGTATTACAATGACCCGAGCTGAATGACTCCCGTAATCCATATCCCCGAACTATAGGGGATAGTAAATGAGTATCCTATATTATAAGGACCCGGGCTGAATGAATCCCGTAATCCATATCCCCGGACTATAGGGGATAAGTATCATGTATTATCAGGACCCGGGCTGAATGAATCCCGTAATCCATATCTCCCGTAATATAAGGGATAATAAATGAGTGTCCCGTACTACAAAGACCCGGGCTGAATGAATCCCGTAATTAATATTCTCTTACAATAAGGGATAGTAAATAAAAATTCCTTACTAAAGGGGTGAGCTGAGTAAAGCTCGTAAATTTCAATTCCCTTATTAAAGAAGTGACGACCTGAGTAAAGCCTGTACAATTTATTTCCTTACCAAAGGAAGATTATCCAAGGGTACCAAAACTAGTACCCAGGGGCAGAGTACCCAAGGATACTAAAAATAGTAGTTAGGGGCAGAGCACCCCAGGGGAAGATTACCCAAGGGTACTAAAAATAGTACACAGGGGCAGAGTATCCAAGGGTACTAAAAATAGTATCTAAGGGACGATTACCCAAGGGTACCAAAACTAGTACTCAGGGGCAGAGTATCCAAGGGTACTAAAAATAGTATACAGGGGCAGATTTATTGTTCATATGAACAGTACCCGCGGGTAGTGTTCCCATGGCAAGAAAAAAAATAATAATAAAATAAAAATAAAATTCTACTATTCAATGAACAGTACCCGTAGGCAAAAAAAAAAAATCCCTACTATTTAATGAACAGTACCCGTGGACACTATTCCCGAGGGAACAGTGCCGGGGGCCAAAAAAAAAAAAAAATCTTACATTCCCAAAGTTAGATGAGTAAGCTTAGGAATAGGGGCAACTGATAGGGAAAAATAAACCTATCTTGACCTAACAATAGAGGCAACCAAGTGTTGACCAGCTACCAGATCTTTTCGGTGATCAACGATAATATTTTGTTATTAGGGGTAACGATTTTCATGGATAAGAATAATGACAAATCTTATACAGGATAAGATTTTCATAGGGATGATGACAAATCTTATCAAGGATAAGATTTCCATAGGATAAGTTCCATCGAATAAGGATGATGAAATTCCCTTATCGAGAAGAAGGGAAACGACGATAAATTGGACGACGACTCGGGAATAAGGTACAACGAAAAAACTATTATTAAATCCTTACTTTCTTTTTAGACCTCCGGTAACTAACTTGATCGTCAGAGAGCTCTTGACAGGCACCACACCGGTGCTGTCAAGGTTCATTGATCTTCTCCTCTTTCCCTTGCAGGTAAACGGTGTCGTATCGGACCGTGTGAATTTCACCCTCAACAGTTGCAATTAAGTTGCGTGCATGTATACGACATTAGGTTTTGAGCTTAATATTTTCCTTTTTTTGAGATAAACTTCAAAAAAGAAATTAAATGAGATTAAAAATAAATGACTCAATATTTGAATAACAGATAATTAACCTCAAACACAGTATTAACAATAATTGCTAACGCAGAGTATGAACCATTAAGCAAGCCTATATAACCAACAACTCCAATAAAAACAGAAAACACAGAATAAAATTAATGCTGACTTACTAGCTTTAGTCTTCTTATAAGCTCAACCTTCTAAGGTGAAATTAATAAAACTGCACAAAAGCTGTTAAGAACCTTACACGCTGTGTTGGACTTAGGATCCCCACCACTTCCCTCACCGTCCACTCACGAACTGCATCGGTGTTTGCAACCAGCTGCACCATCATCTCCTTCAAGTTCTTCATCTTGTATACTATGGTGTCCATCAATATTTCCTCCTCTGACTGAACCTCACCGTCCGTCAATGTATCCCGCGCAGACTGATCCTCACCGTCCGCTAGCCTCTTCACCCGGCTCAACAACCCCAAGATCACGTCCCTATTGTACTGAATGCTCGCCGACGCATTATCTATATCTATCTCCCCTCTCTGAGTCTCGGCTTTGACTCTCTCCATCCTCCACAGCTGCTCAACGGATAGCTGTCCCACTGTGTCCCAAACTATTCGGAAAACCCAGGAACCTCTGAACCCAGCCACCCAATAGCACCACGTTGAAGAAAAGAAGAGAGAAATATCCTCATTTGCTAGTTTCGCTCTCTCATCGTAATACTTCTTGTAGTGACATAAAATTTGATCAACTAGGCTTGTATTTGCTTCTTTGTCAATAAGGATTGAGTTTTCAAGTAGTCGTTGAAGGTAGCAGTGGCGTTGGAAAAGCCAGTTTTCAAAGAAGGCCGCAAAGTTATGTTGAATGGTTGGGTGAGACATTGGATCTGTAACTAACAGGGAAGAAAGTGTAAGCTAAGAGGAAGATCAAACAGGTGAAACCATTATTTTATGCCTGGCCATTTACGAACACGTATTCTCCTTAAATCTAACTGCCATTATTTACCTGACACGTGTTATCTGTCGTTATGTACCTGACACGTGTTATCTGAGGGCTCATATGTGTTATAGTACACGGTACACGTGTTATAAGATAAGGTAAATTGTATCACCAGTATCTAACGCGTGTTATCTCACCACATGTACGTGTAATCATATTATTACTACCTATATTATAGGAATTGTATAATATATTAATAGTTTTATCCTCTCCCAAACATGTTATTATATATTAGAATAGAAGGAAAATATATATATATATATATTAATCAATTTGACATCAGTTTGATTAAAATAAGAATGAGTTAACTAAAATTAAATTATTATTGGGTTATTAGTTTTGATGATTAAAGCGTTTCCCACTCATTACTTACTCTAGATTATTCTAGAATTGCATTTTTTTGTGTATTTTCTACTTTTTTAGATGCACATATTTTTCACGTAGTTCTTGGATAATGTCTAATTTTTTGTTTTAAATTTCGGGCAAAATAATATGTACAAGTTTTCCCTCCTCTAAAAGTTTATAAGATAATGCATCAATTTTTAACCATTTGAATCATTTAAACCACTTTAAGGCCAATTGAAACGTCTGACCATTTGGTTCAATTTGACTCAGGAAGACCGTTTTAAAATTTGAAATGACGTGTCAGTAAGTTTGGTTATTTCATAAGGAGTTAGTAGCCAATAGGGTTATGGCGCTTCGAATTTAAGAGCATATGATGTGGACACGTAAGACCTAATTTTTTACTACTCAAATAATATCGTCACACATTAGTTAATTTTAACATTTAGGCAAGACCTAATTTTTTACTATTCGAATAACATCATCACACATGAGTAAATTTTAACATTTAGACATGAGTAAATTTTAACATTTAGACAAAATGCATGGGTATTTTTCAGTGTTATTAGAAGGTGACTAATTGGTTATAAATTCAGTGTTATTAGAAGGTGACTAATTGTTTTAATTTATAACCGTGGTTGCCAAATAGGTGGTTTTTAGTGTTCTTTTGCTATTATGTCTAGATTTTAAGCATCAAATAACAAATTAGATTAATTTTATTTTATTTTATTTTATTTATTTATTTATTTATTTTTAACAAATTAAGTGAATCTAAATTTTATTGAATTACCACCAAAGGCTTTCTTTGGAGAGAGGTGAGAGTTTAAAGTCCATAAGTGTGAGTTTCTTGTTTAAATATATATATATATATATATATATATATATATATATATATATATATTAATATTATGATTAATTTTACTAACACCCCTCAAATTTGGCTAAATATCACCCTCAAATATCTTTCGAAAATAATTATCACTCACATTACAAATTTTTGTTCCGTTTTTCACTCACACCCCAACCGTTAGTTGAACAGTTCTAACACGATATAAAATAACGTAAATACCCTTTGACTTTGTCAAAATAGCTATTTTACTTAAATAATTGAATTAAAAGACTAAGATATCCCTAAAATTTTATAAATTTACAAATTATATAGATATACCAGACATATATATATACAGGCATATATATATACACGTGTGTATATATATATATTACACAAGACATATATATTCCTCTCTCTCTCTCCACCACCATCGTTCCTCTCTCTCTCCACCACCACCATCGTTGAAGATAAATATCACGCAGCAGCACAACCGTCGGTGTCATCATCGTCCACCATCGTCCGTGCCCCATAGGGTAACGATAATAGCTTCTTAACCACGATTAGGAAGCAAAACCGTGGTTAAAATGGGTCACGACAGATTATGTAGATTAGGAGAGAGAAAGTCTAATTTTCTTTATTTTTAATTGTTTAAATTTCTAAGAGGTTTTTGTTTTTAAAGCTTTGCGGCTGCTATGTTCTTGCCTCCTCTTGTCTTTTGCCTTCTTTTGTTGTTGCCGCTGCTTAATCTCTATCTTATCTATAGAGAGAAATTGAGAGAGAGAGTAGTAGAGGATTGGCAAAGAGTTTGTATGGTTTAGAGAGAGAGAGAGGGGGTAATGATTGCTTTTGCAGTTCAACTGAAGTTCATAGATGAGAATCATCGCAGACAAATTTAATTTGTTTGGTTTTGAGCTGAAGTAGAAATATAATTCGAAGCGTGTATGAATTGGTTGAAGATTGCATAGATTTGATTTTGTTGAAATTTCATTGGCAGGAGATTCAAGGTAAAGTTTAATTTCTATGGCAAATTGAGTGTACTAATGATAGGTTGAGATATTTTTCGGTAGAGAATCTAAGAAAAGCAACAAATTCAAAAGAGATTACAAACAAAATCCATAAAGCAATTCAACAAAGCTGTATTTGTTCAGGTTATATCAATGTAAAAGCTGGTGAAAAATTTGTTGTAATTAGGGGTATTGTAGTCTTTTTATGTTAATTTTTAAGTTATAGAACACTTTTGACCAAGTCAAAGGGTATTTAGGTATAAAATTGTCTTTTATATATTTTTAACGAAAACTGTGATGAAAAAGTGAAAATAGATCTAAATTATAGTTATTTTTTAAAGATGTTTGAGATTGATATTTGGTCAAACCTGAAGAGGTGTTAGTAAAATTAACCCTTAATATTATAAATAACATATGCCTCCTTTAGTAGTAGTAGTAGTTAGAGATGTCAATTTTTACCGTCCCGCCGGGGCCCCGCCCTATCCCGCCCTGTTAATAACGGATGTAGGAACACTTTTTATACTATTGGGGCGGGCATGAATACAAATTTTGTACCCGTCGTGGGTCACGGGGCGGGTAAGGGTTCAGTATACATATCCTAGGGGGCCCGCCTCGCTAAGCATATAACTATATTTAATATATATATATATATATATATATATATATATATATATATTAAATATAGTTATATGCTTAGCGATATATATATATATATATATAATATTAATAACTTATTTTAGCGGCTTACCCAGTTACCCATTTCTTACAATCTTAATTTGGGATGTAAACTTGGTATTAAATTTACTTTTGTTTTAGTTATGGTGGAAGTTAGAGTTTAGAATTTCTTGTGATTTGGTTGTATTAAATTTTTATTTTTATTTATTATATTCTCTGAATTATGTTATGTGCATGTTATTTTTTTATTTTTGTTGAGATACATAATTTCATTTATGTTGTGTCATTCTCAGGCTTTTCACATTTAAATAGCATGAGCTTAAGTTCTAAAAAGTGGGAGAAAAAAATTTGTTAGCGGGGCAGGCACGAGGGTACAGTATTTCCCAACGGGGCGGGACTGGACATGAAAATCCAACCCGTCGCGGGTCTCGGGGCGGGCATGGACTTGACAAAAATTAAAAGGAGCAGGGCGGGATTTAGGGAAACCCGCTCCAAATCTGCCCCGTTGCCATCCTTAATAGTAGTAGTAGTAGTAGTACTACTATTCATATGTGAGAGCCTGCTATTGTGTGTGCGCACGTGTGTATATATATATATTGATAAATATATATTCACACATCCCTCGACAAACTTGAACAACTTTGGAAGTTGCTATTGTTTATATTATAAACAATATAAATTTTATTTATTTAGATTCTTATATTGTTTTTATTTTCTAAAAAGGATAATATATATTGGATTCAAATTCATTTAGGCTCTTTTTTTTTAATCCTATTCTATAAAATTAAGAAAACCATTATATTTTCTTTTAATTTCATGTTATTCAAACCAAATTAGAACTTTCATACAAGGTTTTTGAAAAAATTTCAAACTAACCAAATGAATGTTAAAAAATTAATTTCTTTTTCTTCACTTTACTTTCTTTTTGTTTCACTTTTCTATTTGATTTTCATCTAACAAACCCTTAATGAATGAGTAAGTGAGAGTGCTAAAAATTATCACTAACTCAAGTTTAACAAAAAGCGAATAAAGCATGGGCACGGACAGGCGATAGGACAAACTCAAGCATATGATAAAAAATAATATTATATATATAAATTATAAAGGTTTACTCAAATTATAATTTATATTCATAAACACAACTAATTTAGATTATGCCCACCCAAAAGCCCAACTTTTTTTGAATGATGGGCTCAGAATGGTCCTTGGGAAGGCCCCTAAAAATACGGGCTGACCCAAAAACACATGAACCCCAAGTCTTATTCATATTACTTATTTTATATAAAGGATGTGTGTAACATAAATATAAAATGTTAAGCCCATGAAAGCAGCTAAAGGAAAATTACAGATATATTATTCTTTAGATTTTAATTTTCTTTTCTGAAAACCAGTAAGTCCTATAAGTTTCAACAAGATCACTAGCCTGTTTGATAACCATTTTTGTTTATTGTTTATCATTTAAGTTTAAACATAATGAGTGTTTATGTGTAGCTTTTGTTTATCGATAAATAGATACATTGTTTGATAACGTAAAAATGTTTATCTTATTTTTAAAATAATAAACAGAAAAATATGTTTGTTAACCTTATACTGTTTTTTAAAAATTTAACACCAGTTTTAAACAAATAATAAAAGCATCTATAAAGTGTCCAATTATTTCTTACTTATAATGGCTTTAGGTAACAAATTACTACTCTAATAAAAAAAAATTTTTCCCTGGAAAGTACTCATTGCTCAAGTAATATTTCAAGATACCCATTATGAAGACCCACCAAAAGAATAATGTTTGTTTTGCTTATTAGCTCCATGTTATTTTCATATATATATATATATATATATATATATATATATATAAAATAAAACACATAAACATAAACGTCGTTTTGATGTTAATAAAATTGGCCTATGTAAATAGTAATTATATAAGTGAATTTATATAATCGATAAACATAAACAATATTAACAAACATGTTTTTCTTCAAAATCTGTTTATATAAACAATAAATTGTAAACTTTTGTGAATCTTATAGAGCAATATTGAGAATACAAT